TTCCTTCTCTCGTTCATTCGCTCATTCATTCATTCGACGATCGTTATCAAGTGCCTTCTCTGTGAAAGGCACAGCACTAGGCCCTGGGATTCAGAGGCGAACAATACGGGCCCTCACTTTGGTGGCCCTGGCATTCTTGGGGGGCAGGGTGTGGGGAGGCAGGCGACTGCACAGTAAGGGAACTCGGTATAATATAAGCGCTAAGCAGAAAACTAGAGAAAGTAGAGGGGTTCCAAGGGAGAGGGGAGGCGCCCTTAGGTGGTCATCAAGGGCTCTTCCGAGGAGGGGGCATTGGAGCAGAGGTTTCGAGGACATGCCAGAATGTGTAGGGATCTGGGGGAAGAGCATTGGAGGCAGAGGGAACGCTAAGTGCAAAGGTGTAAGAGGGGTCCTGCTTGGGGTGTCTGAGGGCCAGGAGAGGGTGGAGAAGAGTGGGTCAGAGGGAGGGGCAGCTGTGCGGGGCTTGCGGGAGCTGGAATATTCCAAAACGGCAGAGTCATTCTGGAGGTTGCTGAGTGGGGACTTGACCTGCTCTAAATGAGTTTTGCCATGAATGCAGCTGCCCAACCCCCTCCCCCAGTACAGTTGGTGGGATGGGGATGGTGGTGGCCGCAGCTGCCCAGCCTGCCTTATAAGAGATGGAGAAGAAAATCCAGAGTGGTGAGGCCAGAAGGAATTGTCCCAACCTTCGAGGATTCTGGGGTGTGCTGGAGAGGACCCGGTCATGTAGACGGAAGCCAGTGACTGTTCCTGGGGACTCAGCTGTCTGCCTCTTCACAGGGCGACAAGGTTACAGATGAAGAAAGGCCCCTGAAGGCTGGTGACACTTGGCGTCAAGATCAGCAGCGTGACCACCACCAGGGGAGACTGACCTGGGCAGGTGAGGCTCTGCTGGGAGGAAGGGAGGGCCTGGAGGCCGACGGTGCCCCTGGCCACCGCCGCGGCCCATCCCATCCCGGTCGTGGCGCTGGCGCCGGAGACCCGGGTCTGGCCTCCTGTCCTGGTGCCATCTCTGAGCCTCGGTCGGCCAGGCGTGCCCTGCTCTGGGGAGCCCATCTGGACGCCAAGCTGACAGCACATCGGGCTCAAGCGGGGCCTCTTACAAGCAATCATGCCCAGATTCGTCAGGCTTCCAGTGATTTGGCGCGGTCTCGTGTTTCGGCCCATCTCCCCTCCAGGTTGTGCTGCTGGGGAACGGGAGGGGACGCGGGGGCTCACACTTCCTGTCTGCTCCGTGCGGGGGCTGGCTGGCCTCGACATTCATCATCTCCTTCTGTCCTCCACCAACCCCTCTTTACAGCTGTGGAAACTGAGGCTCAGACAAAGCGGTGGCTTGCCCAAGGCCCCCTAAGTGTTAAAAGCAAAGCCAGGATTTCAACCTCTGACGACGGGATTCCAGGCAGCCTCCTAGAAGGGGCCTGGGGTGTGTGCGTGGGGGCTTGACAAAGCCCAGGTTCTGGGCCAGGGAAGGCCCCAGGCCACGGCTTCTCTGAGTTATGAGGAAGCGCACCAGCCAGCAGGCCGGGTGGGAACAGGCTCCCTCCTCCCTTGGAGCAGCCATGACCTGGGCTCAGGTGACGCAGCACCTGCAGCTCGAGCCGCCACCTGCTTGGCCTACCGGCTACAATATTCCCAGAGCAGCGGGCAGGCGGGCCAAGGGCTTCGGTTCACTGGCCCAGCCTCAGGAAGCCCAAAGAGGGAGGCCAGGAATGCCGCTGCTGGGCTTCCAGAAGCTTCTCCAATTTCTAGAGCTACAGCAACTTCTGGAGTGGGCCCCGGGGCAGTCTGACCCCTGCCCAGACCCCCTCCCAAATGCTGGTTCCCACAAGCACGCTCAAGGGTCACGACCACCGAGAACGGTGCCCTGTGCCCTTGGCTTGTTAGGGGCCTTGGAGACTGGGGAAAACCCACAGTGGTGGCCCTGGGCCTGAAATGCCACCATCAGCCAGCATCATTCTGGGTTAAGAAAGGCCCCATCCCAGCCACCTTTAAAGGAAAAAGCCACCCTCACAAGGCAGAAAATGCCAACTCTTGTCTGTATCAGTGAAAATATAACCAGCCAGAGGGGAGGCAAGGTTAGGCTCGTCAGACTTGGTCTCTAGCCATGTGCCATGCCTCCAGGCCAGCGGCCTCTCTCCGCTCACCTGGCCTCACCTCTGCCCTTCGGCCTTCCTCAAAGGCTTCCCTCTGTCCTGCCCCAGGGCCCCCGTGGGGATCAAGCCCTCACTGCCCCTCCCTTGCCCTGCGGTAGCAGCCTCTCAGCTGGGCTCCGTGGTTCCATCTACCCTCCACAGAGGCCACAGAGTCTTCCCTCTCAAACACAGCTCTGAGCCTCTCTCTCCCCATCTCCAAGCCCCACTATGGCTCTCCACGAGCCCCAGAACTGGGTCCCGATGTTAGCTTGGCCTTCAGGGCCTTTTATGGCCCAGCCAGGACGGCCAGTCCAACCCCACCCCCGAGTGTCAGAAGACATGGGCTCTGTGGTGGCTCTGTGACCTTGAGCAGGCAACTTGACTTATCTGAACCTCGATTCTTCATTCTGATAGGTGCAATGGGCCTCTGCCCCAAAGGGAGCAGGGTTTACATTGTGTGATTCCCATGAGCTCATGCCTGTGGCCTGGGGACTGGACATACAGCAGAGCTCCATAAAGGTAGCTGCCCTTAATTATCACTGGTCCTGTGAAAATACTAGAAAACTCCCTCATCATGCTGAGCTGTTTCCTGTTTCTGAATCTGTGCAGATACTGTGTCTTCTGCCTTGGCAATGGAGTGAACTCCTGTTGATCCTTCAACACCCCTCTCAGACAGTGCCCTGACCAGTGTCAGCTCTCCTTTCTTAGAATGCTCCTCCATATTGGCGGAACAACTGATCTGGAATGTTTCCATTTACTTGTTGATCCTCCACCATATGACCGTGGGCTCCCAGGGTAGGAGCTGACACATGATTGAAGCGAACCAGCAAGGAAGGGCTAGGGTAATGGTGGGGGTGGGGGGAGGTGGAGGGAGAGGATCTCGGTGGTTGGCCAATGCAGAAGAAAACTTCCATTCATTTAATCATGCATTCATTCCTTCATCCATTTAACAAGTATATACTGACATCCTTCTCTGACAAAAACCACTTGCTAACTTTCTACAGCTTCTAGAATCACACCCAGAAACTCTCCTCCATGGCCCATGAAACCCTGGAGATCCAACCCTGTGTGACCTCGCTGACCTCAGTCTCCCTGTCCCTCTCTGCTCCAGAACTCTGGCTCCCCTTCAGCTCCTCAAGCAAGGCCATGTCCTAGAACGTCCTCTTCCTGGCCTCTCCAGCCTGGCCCCCTGGAGAGGCCCTCCCTGCTCGCTCTGTGTAAATGGGGTCTCAGCCCTGCTCGGCACGCCCCGTCTCGGCCCCATGTTTGTCTCCTTCCTCACACAGCCCATACCCCAGACACACCTGTGGGATTAGGTGATTAGCACCCGCCTCCTCACTAGGCTGTGAACTCCCCACTCCCCAGCCCTCTCAACCTCTCTGCTGCCTGCCAGAGAGGCCTCGCCTTCAGAAAGCTGCCTGGAGAGCCCTGGGAGGCCGGAACCAAAGGGGCTCTGGTGAGAGTCTAGGTCCACCTCCTTGTGTTGTAACAATAATAAAAATAATCATAATTCCAACAATAACAATAGCTAACACTTCCCACGTGCCAGGCATTGCTCTTTCCGTGCTCGGTTTTCTGTAATGCGTGCAACCAGCCCCTAAGAGAAGGTTCATTGCATCCCCATCCCCACTTTGCAGAGGAGAAAGCTGAGGCTGGGAGAGGTTGACTCACATTCCTCCCCCGCCGCCCAGGCCACAGAGGCTGCACTCTTGGTTAAGCACTGAGCTACCCCACCTGATGACAGATGGTCAGGGAACAGCCACAGCGATGGCAGGGCAGTGACAAGACTGGACTGGGTTGAGATTCCATATTTTTAGCTGTGTGACCTTAGCCAGGCCACATCACCTCTCTGGCCTCAGCTTCCCCACCTGTAAAACGGAGGTAAATGCTGTCCCTTTCCTCAGATCAAATGGTCTCAGGAGGGAGGCCTACAGAGACTTTACTATTGAGGGGAGGGGGCTGGGTGCCGTGGGGGCAGGATTCTAGGGGTCCCCAAACACTGCCTCTGGGCGCACACAAAGCCAGTCCTGCCCAAGGCAGCTCCATGCCTGGTTCCAACAGGACCCCGGCAGGGCAGCGTGAGCCGAGTCAGAAACGCCCCGCCCAGGCTGTGCCCAGTGACCCCACGCGCCCCTCTGCAGAGGGGAGACAACATTGGGGGTGCGCACACCCAAGGATCCCGGGTGTGCGGCGGGCAGCCCGTGTGCCCCGAGTCGGGCCCTGGGCCACAGGGACCCCCCCGGCACCCCCAGTCCTGACACCTGCTTCCCTGGCCCCACGGGTCCTGGCAGCGGGAACGGGGCGTCTGCTGGAGGCTCCCCTGGGCCGTGCCAACCTCCCGGTGCCCAGACAAAGCCCCCTCCCCCTGGCCTCTGGGGAGGGGGCAGGCGGGAGAGGGAGCCAACAAAGACAGACAGCGGGGCTGCGCCTGGGGCTCGGGGCACCCCCTCCCCGACCTGCCCAGAGCGCCCACACCCCCTCCTGCCACTTGGCCGCTCGGCTGGGGCGCCCGGCATCGTTGCTATGGCGGCAGCTCGGGGGAAGCTGCAGCTGGGTAATTATTGCGAACATCCATCCTGCCTCCTGCCCGCCCGGGAGAGCAGGGGAGCGCGCAGCCGGACCAGGGCAGCCCCTCCTCGCCCGCCGGGCGGCCGCACCCTGGCCTGGCACGGCGCCACCCGAGGTATGCAGGGGAGGCAAGCCGCGCGGGCAGCAGGGGCCCACGGCCGGCCAGGAGCCCCCCCGCCACTTTCGCCCCTGGCCGCCCCCCCCACCTCTGGCCCACCCTTGGAGCTGACCAACCAGCCCGGAACTTGTTTTTTCTAACTATAAACACACACCACACACAAAACCAGCCAGAGAGCCTCCTTTGTTCAAACAGAATTTTTCCTTGGCCTTTTTTGGGGGCAGTGGGAGCCAACAGCGCCCGGTCTGGGTGACGGCCTCTTACACGGGGACCGTCCCCCTAGATGAGGAGGTGCCCCTGGGGCCCTGCTGTGGGCTCCGCTGCCTTCTCGGGCCCAGAAGCTTGCCCTGGCCCCGGTGTCTAAGTATAGCTCAGCCTGGCTGAGCCTGAGGTCACAGCACTCCCAATGGCCTGGGGTGGCCACGCGCAGGGTGACAAGGGTCGTCCATCCGTTTGGGGCTCAGACAAGCATTTCGGGAGGCAGGCACAGAGCTGGGCTCCAAGCCCCAGCCACGAGGCTGCTGCGCCTTTGCCCACTCGCTCACGGACCCGAGAGAGACCTGCAGCTCTGACATAAGGAGCTCACCCTGCCGAAGGGACACAGACAGGGTCCCCTGACACAGACTGGAGGCAGCATGGCAAGAGGGCCCTGAGCGAGGCTTGATGTAGGTGAGGAGATGTCAGGTGCAAGGGAAGGGGTGGGGTCCAGGCAGAGGGGAAAGGGAGCAGGTACTGTGTGCACCTGGGACAGCCTCTTGTGGGCAGGAGTGTGGGTGCCTCTCGGTCAGGATCCAGGGCCCAGGAGCAGTGGGAGGCCACTCGAGCGGGCCAGGGGTCCACAGGCTACAGAGCCCAGGGACACTCTTGCTCTCCTTTGGCCCCTGTTGCCCCCTTGGGGCTCTACACTGGCCGGGACACTTGGCAGAAGGCACCCAGCAGGAGAGATCTGCCTGAATCCTTGATTTCCAAAGGTCTCTGGTGGCAAGGGTGGAAATGGAGGGGGTATGAGGGAGGGGGGGAAGCTGGCGGGGGCCACAGGCAGGGCAAGGCCCCCCTTGGATAGCAGGTTAGAGGAGAAAAGGGAGATGAGACAGGCCTTGGGGGCTGAGAGGGAGTGAGGGCTTGGCCTGCTTCTCCAGGTTTATCCAGGGGTTTGGGCTGCCTGTGTATCCTCCCCAAACCTGGGTCATCGAGGTGCTGACCAGGGCCCTGCTCGGGCGACAGACATGCCAAAATAAGAGGCAAGATGTTGGTTGAAAGAGAGCCCAGGCCTGGCTGGCATACCACCAGAAGTCAGGGCCCTGGGGAGAAGGTCATCTGCTCCTTCATCACTGACGGAGGGAAAGGGGCCTGGGCTCCAGCACGGCCTTCTGGGTCGGGGCTGTCAGGCCCCGATGGCCTTTGGACCACACACTTACCGTCACGGCAATAAATCTTCCCAATGGGCCAAGTTTTCCATCTGCAAAGCTCTTTCCCACCCGGCGTGTTGCCCTGGCTTCACACAGCCCTGGTGCGAGGCTGGGCAGAGGGGAGCGGCCATTGCAGCCGCCCAGAGCCTGGGGCCTGGAGAAGCGACCTGCTCTGCCCAGGCAGGGAAAGGAGGGGTGGTGATGTCAAGTGCCCCCTACGTGGGGGGTACCTGGCACGCTCACTCAGGCTGCAGTGAGAAGGCACCAGGAGCGGAGCTCGGACTTGTGGCTGACCCCCTGGTCCAGGGCTGCTCCGTCCCTGCTGAGACAGAGGCTTAGCAAGGGTCTGGGGCAGGGCCAGGCTGTTTTCTGAGACGAGAAGCCAAGGAGCAGGGGCCCAAGACAAGCATCAACACCCAGAGCAATTCTCCAGTCTGACAGTGAGCACGTCTATCTTATACATGGGGAAACTGAGGTCCTGGCTAGGACCAGACCCCAAGAGCCTATGGTTCCCCGACCCTGGCATAGCTGGAACTGGGTGGGTAAGTCCCGTGGATTCCCAGGGCTCTGAGGGATCCAGTCGTCCAGCAGCGCTTGCATTTCGAATGTGGGAGAAAGAACTCTGGATGCAAATTCAGGAGAGAGCGTTCTGGGCCAGCCTTGCAGCTTATCTCAGCCCCGGGGAGTCGCAGGTCAGCGGGTTAAAGCAGCTCGGGTCCGGAGGGCTGAGGAGGGCACACCACAGCCAGCACGAGCCATTTCAGAAATCTAGAAGGTGCAAGCGGTGATGATGGTGGGGTGGGGAGCCCCACGCCCCTCATCCTTCATCCCTCCATCTGCTTTTCTCCCTTCCCCCCTCTCTCTCCCCCAGGGCTGGGGGCAGGGCATACCGGGGCGAGTGAGCAGCCCCGCTCCTGCCTCCTTGGGGCTCCCTAGTCAGTTTCCTCATCTGCAAGGTGGGCATCGTGGTGGCCACATCCTGGAGTTGCTGGAAGAGTCAGATGACGCGTAGGGACCGCCAGTGGGATGGCAGCTGGGTTAGTGCTGGCGATGGCACTGATGAGAGATGGTAGGCACGGCACTCAGGGCTCCCCCCAACCCCCGCACCCCCCGCTCCCAGCTTGCACCTCACACCGTGACCCGCACCGGTCCTCTCTCCCATCAACATGCCAGGTGCACTCCTACCCTGGGCTTTTGTTCAGGCTCTTCTGCCCACCGGGAAGGCCCTTCCCTTCCTCCCAAATCCCACCCATCTCTCCAGATCCCTCACCAAGACACACACACACACACATTCTCCAGCCTTCATTTCTCTTGGGCTCCCCAGGAAGTCAGCACTACCTTCTGGCACATGTTTCAGCTCCTTGCAATTCTAGGACCTGGACTCTGGGGCTGTCTTGGCCCGAGTTCCAATCCTGCTCCCCTCCCTCGGCGCCTCGGCTCCCTCGCTTGCGAGGTGGGGGTCACTGCAGCGCCTATTGAGGGCTGTGTCTCTGGCTTGTGTGGGGCCAGGGGCACCCGAGGCGCGGGAGTAAGGAATAGGCCATTATTATGGTTCTCTTTCTTTTGGTTCCCCTTGTGCTTTCCACCTGCAAGCCGGCCCTTTGTCCCATGCTGCCCGTGTGGCAGGAAGCCTTGGGAAAAAGAGCTCACTCAAGGGGCAGGGCCTTCCCCACGCTGCCTCTTCCTTTAAATGGGGGAGAAAGGTGGGGACTGGGGGGTCTCCCCCCCTTCTCCCTGATATCACCCCAGGCAGGAAGCCACTCAGTAGCAGGACAAACCAAGATGGCTGGAAAGTTCCCCGTAATCCAGGTTTCAAAAGCCATCCCAGTGGAACGACTGGAGGCTTGGGAGGTAAGGATTCTGCTGGGGAGAGACGGTCTGACAGAAAAATGTGACACATTGGGCAGCTCAGCGCTGGTGATGTGCACAGCAACAGGCGGTCTATGTCCTCAGCTCTGGATTCCCCAGGCTGCACTTCGTTAGTACTTATCGCGAATGCGGTACCCAGCCCCAGTAC